GTTTTTCAATCCCTAATTTTTTTTTTTTTTTTTTTTTTTGGTTAAAAATAATCCAAAATCAATAATTGAGCAAGGACATAACCAGCCAGTGTTCATAACTATCACTTTACTTTTGCCTGATTCACAACGGTTAGTTTATAATAATGTTTTCTAATTTGAGTGGTACTGGTAGGAATTTGCGGGAAATTCGAGCATGCCGCTGCGTCATTACGTCACGTCTGTAAACATAAAGAAGTTGTCCCAACTACTAGGCTATCGCATGTGAGGATCCTGCAGGTGCCGGATCGTTTATAGCCTTTTCTCACAGCAGCTGGAATAAATAAACGTATAATTTTGATGGCGGATTGTAATCCAGAAAGGATTGCGTTTGAAACACATGTGACTGAAATTAAATTATATTCCAGTTTTAAATGTGCATCTGATTACAGATAGCCTACGTAGGATTCCACAAGATTTGTATTTTAAAGAGAACCAGTTCGAAGGAAGAATAATTTGATTTTGGGTTAAAAGAGTATGACATTTGAATGGTATGACAATTAGAGATTAGAATGTACAGAAATTGAAATCTACACAAAGTATAACAATAATAATTTGCATGGTTTGATGTGATGTGAGCTTAACCAATCGTTAGATTTAATCACCATTGGTAGCGTAATTCATTGTAATGCTTTTTTCCTCAGTTGGTCAGAACAAACGTGGCATCTTTTTTTTTTTTTTTTTTTTTTGGTTAAAAATAATCCAAAATCAATAATTGAGCAAGGACATAACCAGCCAGTGTTCATAACTATCACTTTACTTTTGCCTGATTCACAACGGTTAGTTTATAATAATGTTTTCTAATTTGAGTGGTACTGGTAGGAATTTGCGGGAAATTCGAGCATGCCGCTGCGTCATTACGTCACGTCTGTAAACATAAAGAAGTTGTCCCAACTACTAGGCTATCGCATGTGAGGATCCTGCAGGTGCCGGATCGTTTATAGCCTTTTCTCACAGCAGCTGGAATAAATAAACGTATAATTTTGATGGCGGATTGTAATCCAGAAAGGATTGCGTTTGAAACACATGTGACTGAAATTAAATTATATTCCAGTTTTAAATGTGCATCTGATTACAGATAGCCTACGTAGGATTCCACAAGATTTGTATTTTAAAGAGAACCAGTTCGAAGGAAGAATAATTTGATTTTGGGTTAAAAGAGTATGACATTTGAATGGTATGACAATTAGAGATTAGAATGTACAGAAATTGAAATCTACACAAAGTATAACAATAATAATTTGCATGGTTTGATGTGATGTGAGCTTAACCAATCGTTAGATTTAATCACCATTGGTAGCGTAATTCATTGTAATGCTTTTTTCCTCAGTTGGTCAGAACAAACGTGGCAGACTTGTTACTTGTTCAAATGACAATATCCGGAGAAAATTTTTGTTTGGGTCATATATTCCAAGATGTAGGCTAGAATCTGTGATTCCGAAATACAGTATCCACACCGGTGCGGTGACTGACAGCCACACATACTCCTCGAAACATTACATTGATCCGCGCTGGAGCCGTGCACAACCCAGGCAAGGAAGATAATTGCACAAATAACTACAATTGCAGGTTTTCAAACAGAGATGACGACAAAGAGGCAAAACGTACGGACTGCAGCTTTAAAATGAAAGTGAGCACTGCAACAACTTGCTGTTGTGCATTCTACAGGCTTTACACTGCCTTTAGAGGTTCCGATAATGGATTTTGCAGATACCATAAAACAAATGATTTTGTTTTACAAAATTGAGTTGATTTGTGGTTGTATGATTAAATCGTGCCAAAAAATTCAAATGATTCCCATTTCATAATTTTTCTGTTTAAATTACTGTTGCTCAGGAGAGAGACCTACATCACTGTACCCTGTAATGTGTTGCCTCACATGGAGGAGGAAGAGGAGGGCAGCTTCATGCCAGAGGAGACTCCAGAAGATGGTGTGGAGGACTGCAGAACTCCAGACAGGCTCGATTCCACTGATGGTACGTCAATTTGTCACTTCTGAGGTGATACTGGGAAGTCTTGAGCCTCTCGGTCACATCAAGTGTATAAGCAAAATGTTTAGAATGGAATTTAATGGGCTCGACTGTTCCACTTCAGCATCTGTGGATTCTTTGGTGCTCCAAACCAATGGCAAAATGCCTATGTGGGTTCGTAGACTGGTATGTATGTTTGTTATCATAAAATGTTATTGCATATTGTGTTCTTTCATGACCAGTGGATCTCTTGGTTGTCACAGGGTGGAAGAGGTGAAAATGATGGTGGTGGCGTAGCTAATACATCTCAGTACCAGCCACAGGGACGCTGGGCAGTGCAGTCAGATCCACTAGCCATCCGCACAGTACTGGAGATGAAGAGCATGCAGCTTCCCCTCTCACACACTCCCAGCAGAGCCGTGGGAGAGGAAGAGTTTGAGGAAGACTCTCGCTTTCATCCTCAGAGTTTCGACAGTCTGCTGGATGAAGATGTTGATGATCTAGAGGAGGAGGAGGAAAAGATTTGCAGTGTAAGTTGTCAGGCTTATACCCCACTAGCTGTTTTTCAACTGTGCGCATAGCTGCATGGTGTGGGAATAATTAAATCGGTTCTGATAAAGAAGCCAATTCATCTATATACTATATTTAAATTGTAAATTTTCAAGAAATTTCCCGTTATGCCCCCTGTACACCACGCCAGTGATCACTAGTCTCTACTGTGAAGCTGCTTGTGGGTGTTCCTAGTGCTTTTATTGGTAGACTGCACAATATTGTTAGTAAAATATCAAAATACTGTTCTAATTTGACGTAATAGTTTTTGCTATTATGTAGTAAAATGATGCCCTCGAAGAATCTTGTTATATAAACCATAGCAGTGCTAGTGTATTAAATCATTAATTGTGCATTGAAAGATTCATTTGGTTAAACTCACTCATATTGTTAAATTTCAAAACATTTGGATTTGACAAATGATTATCCCTATTAATGAACATTATGCAGAGGAAACTGTTTTAGTTTGACCTGTCAGCATGAAAATGATTTAACACGCTCTAATGTATGAAATAAAATCATTATATTTGAAGCGTCATTTTATTATATTAGTGTTTGTTTACAGATAAATCATATAGAACATGGCTATCGCTCCAGAAATTGTCATTGAATTTTCCAGTATTGAACCATAAATCAGAGACATTGTGTTGTATACTGAAAAGAGAAGTGGGCCAGGTATTGAGCCCTGAGGTATCCCAATACCTTGCTTGATGTTTCTGTCACCATTCATCCATATTTGATTGGAGATACTTTTATACAATTTATGAGGTAATATGAATGGTGTCTGTTAAACATTTCTTGTAGATTACATGATAGAAGGAGAAATGTCTGAATCACACTCACTCTGAATCACACTGTTTTTGCAAATCATATAGAACAGTGAAATCGCTCCATAAAGTCCTTTCTTGCCTGCACTTGAGACCGGTGATGCTTGAGCTCCCATGACATCGCTCCTGAAATTTGCTCTTCATTTGCATAAAGTTAGACATTTCTCAACTTTGCCAAGTTGCTGGACATGCCTGCATCCTGTCGCCAACAGCTGGTGTTGCTCGTATTGCTGGAAGTCACCAGCTTTTTATTGAAAATGATTGGGATTATGCTGCTTTGTCGTGTGTCGCTGATGCTTTGAATGGGCCTTAAGGGAATTAAAAAAATTGATATCTAGTCCTGAAAGTGTCGGGGAATTTATTTAGAATTTTTGCTGCATGTAATTTTTCTTTTTTTTACTTATACCCAGTTCCAAATTATTTTGTCAAAAATTCTCTTTCTGAGTGCTGTCACTTAAAAAAAAAAAATTAAAATTAAAATATTTGTCATGAAATGAACTGCTGGAAAAAAAAATAACATGGAAATTTGTTGGTTAAAAAGGTGTTGGAACCCTGTTTGTAGGTTTGGTCTTATATTCCCAGCTTCACGTGACTGGATATTGGAGAAAAATGTCTGAGTAATTTAGTCTGTCACTCCATTGCCATTCTTATATTTGACACACCATGGTCAAGAGGGCAAGATTTTAGAAAACCGTTAGTGGGACTAACAAAAACACAATCTATAACTCGAAGTATGAGCCAATAATAACAGTGATGCTTTTCTTAAGACTAACTACAAATTTTATCCATGTAATCTTCTGGTCCCTTAATTGAAATATGAAGGTGTTTGTTTATTTGTTATAGGATTCCCGAGATGGATTTAGCTCTTCGCTCCAAGGGCCAGATTTTCTGCAATTGCCACATGAAGAGGAGAACTTCCATCCAGAGCTCAGCTCACCAGACAAGACCGGCTACATTTTGTACCCAGCAAACAGCACTGCTCTGTCCACTGGAGAAGGGTAAATTGCTTGTAATGATATCTGGTTTAGTTCATTTTTTGCTTAGGAAGTAGGTGTATTTACATTTAATTTAGCGGATACTTTTCCAGCAACATGAGAAATGCTGCAATGTAATTTGCTTTTGGTTTAATATTTAAAAATGCCTTCGAGTATGATGACTTAGAGTAGCATTGCAGTATGTACTCAAAAGAGAAGGGGGGGGGTCAAGCATCGAGCCCTGAGGTATCCCAGTGATCCCCAACGAGTTAATTTGATTGGAGTTTTGTTTTTTTTTTTGCGCAATTTATGAAAGGTTGATGTGCCAGAATCAAACTGTGAATGGGACCAAGCAAATAATAAACCGTGTGACGCGATGTTTATACAACCCTGTATCTTCCGTTTTCATATACGGTGAAACTGGACTTTGTACACACAGAGTAAACTAAATATTGCTATATGAATGTCCCTAGTAGCATTTTCACTTATTGAGTAATCTTTTTTCTTCATGCAGAGAGTTTGATGTTAAAGCTCTGTGTGAGGGTGCTGGTGATGACCCAGAGGAAGAGGAGCTAAGTCCAGATAGTGCTTGTTCGGCTGAGAGTCCAGCCTCCCATAGCGACCAGCCCCATGACCGTGAGTCACATTACACGCTTTGTTTGGAGTGCTGTAGAGTATGAAATTACCTAAGGTAGTAAAACCGGAGGACCTTCAACTTTTAAGGCCACTACTACTGTTTATGTGACTTTATCTGTTTTGTTGCTTTGTAGAGGACACAGACTCCCTCAGTCAGGTGAGCTCCACAGGAAGCTCAGGAGTTGAAGAGGATGAAGAAGAATCTGGAACTTTGCTTCACCAACATTTTGACTCTCTGGGTGTGGCGGCTAATGGTACAAGATGTTTGCAACTTCAGCTGTCTAACTGTGTTAATGGAAATCAACATTTTATTGGCTTCAAAAATGTTGTTTGCTAGACAAAATGCATGGAGTACACGATAAGACTTTTGTCCAGTCCGAGGATATCAAACACATTTGATATTTTAATTTTGGTTGAATTATTCCTTTAAGATAATGGTGAATTTCTTATTGCTAATCTTGTCTGCTGTGGAAACTCTTGTAGAAAAGTTCAACACAGACTTGAGCAATCTGCAGCCCACAACAGAGAGTAACTTCCTCAATCCTCGTCTCAGCATCTCCACGCGCTTCCTCTCGCGCTTTCAGAGCCGCTTTCGGTGAGTCAACATTGACGTCTTGACTCTAATGTTCAATATGTGTAATAGAGAAATATAAGTTTACAATTATAGCTCTTCTCTTCCCTTTTGAGATCTAAATAAAACGGGAAGAAGTGTGTGTAATTACATATTGTAGTGTGTCATAGTGAAGATGACATTGTACATTTCATTTCTGTCTGCTGTTTCAGCACTATTGGGACTAGTGGCAGTGCTATTTGCCGGCCTGCAGCCTACCTGCCCAGTATACCAGATGAATCCAGTGATAGCTGTTTAACCCTTGATGGAGCAATGGTATGATTTTTAATCATGAATAATGTAGTCTGAATGTCATACAAGATGATCCCAGTGGTTGTTCATACCCATCACAAATCAGACTGAATACCAATGTCACGTCATTCTATGGCATTTCTTCAGCATTTTTTAAAATTTTTTTTTATCTCAATAGAACAAAATGGTGCGACAATCATAAATTTAACCACTTCTCCCATATTGTTAGTGATGCCATTGTTCCGTAATGTGCAACCTCTACATGTGTTAACATCTCTATAATGTGGTTTTAGGTTTTTATGATTCTTTAAAGGGTTAGTTCACCCAAAAAGGAAAATTGTCATCATTTACTCACCCTCAAGTCTTTCCAAACCCACAAACGTTTAGTTTATCCTCTGAACACAAGTGAAGATGCATAATGAAACCTGAATGATTTCTGTTCCTCGATTTAAAAGTCATAACACAACAAGCAGTTTACTCAGAGTTTTCTGACAAGACATGTTGTGTTAACATCTCTATAATGTGGTTTTAGGTTTTTATGATTCTTTAAAGGGTTAGTTCACCCAAAAAGGAAAATTGTCATCATTTACTCACCCTCAAGTCTTTCCAAACCCACAAACGTTTAGTTTATCCTCTGAACACAAGTGAAGATGCATAATGAAACCTGAATGATTTCTGTTCCTCGATTTAAAAGTCATAACACATCATAACACAACAAGCAGTTTACTCAGAGTTTTCTGACAAGACATGAAAGCTTTACATGATGAACAGATTTAGTTTAGGCTTGTATTGGCATATAATCATTGATAAATGCACATACAGTATATAAAGCACATCAAAAATGGTAAACGGAAGCTCTCATGTGCTTGTGTGATGCTAGAGAACCAACAAGGTTTGTTCTTGCATCTCACTCAAGCATGTTTGAACTTCCACAAGAACCATTGGAGTTTGTTCTTATGCACAAAGCAAGTATCATTTGAGCTGCAGTAGCCATATTTGATGTGCTTTATGTGCATTGATCAATGTTTAACTGTAAATAAAAAGCATAAATAAAATCTTTATCCTATAAAGTGAGTAAATGACAGAATTTTCACTTGATGGTAAACTATCCCTAAGTCTTAAGTGTATATCTGCTAATAGTTACAAATAAATTGTTGTCGTTTAGGATTACTCTTTTAGTTTAAATGACCTCAAAAGCATGGGCTAAAAACCATGAATGGTCTTTTTCTTCCATGTGAAACTAGGGATGCCACTTTTTCCAGTACTCGCCCGATACCGATACTTTTATTTTTGGTACTTGCCGATACCGAGTACCAATACCAATATTTTCATTGCATTTGTAAATTTTTTTTAAATATTGGGTACAGAAACCAAAAGAGTATGTATAACCTTAGTTGGTTAACTTCATTTATCAAATAGATAGTCAAACCAAAATTTATTCAGACACCTTCAACATTTCTCACATTATCACAGTTTATTCGCTATAGTTTAGAAATTGGTAATAAAATGACAAGAACTGAGTTACACTGTGTCAGAACAAATTCAGCTTTATAATGTCAGATATCTTTGAAATGTATGTAATGGATTACAATAAACCAAAAGTTATTCATACAGCGGTCAATATTTACACAACTATCAATACTTTGTCGGGTGACCCTTAGCCTTAATGACAGCCTGTAGTCTCCTGGGCATGCTGTCACCCAGCTTCATGCAAACCTTAACTTCAATGTCTTTTCCCAGACTCGGTCTGAATAATTTTTGGTCCCAAATTTGTATCAGTTTTACTGGTAGTCCATTCTGTTATTTTCACACTTAATTATGCCCATTAAAATGTATTTTACAAGTTTGTTACTTTCACTGTTCATTTTATTTTTCTCTCTATGGTAGCCTACATCATCTTTAATTTAATCACATTAGAGCTGCTCCATTGCAGCGGTTTAGTACTGTAATCACGCGCTGTGCTGTAATAATGCAGAACCACTGGCTATAAAACTGTGATATTTTCATAAATAGAAGTCGCGGTTTTTTTCATCTGGAACGTGCAGCGATTTATTTTCCAAAGCCACTCATATAATGCAGAAACACTCATGAAGCAAGCAAAACACGCGCACGTATTTGTACTGGTGCAGAATGAGAGGGACAAGTACAGTACAGCACAGCCTAGCGCATTTCACACAGGCTGTTAGTTTCACTTTCCCCAGAAAGTCGTGTATGCTTTAGGGTGAAAATAAATGACGTTTATAGTGAATGCCCCTATAAATTGTCTTATATTTACGATTTAGTTTGAATCCAAATGATGCGAGTACAGGAGCTCAGTATCGGGCCCGATAATGGTATCGGTGCATCCCTAAGTGAAACTCTATATACGGTAGCTAGAAATATTTGGTAGGAACCTGTAAGGATAAGATACTATTGGTTATGTTAGTAGATGCAAAAGCTTAAAATTGTCTGTGGGACTTTTGTCTTGTTAATTTTTTCTCCTTTTTCCAAGGTTCTTTCAAACAACAGTGGAAGCATTGAGGAGAACGAGAAAAGTGGTATGTCCTGTTACCTGTTAATAGAATGCATTTTACTTTCGTGAGTAAAAGTCTCATAACATAAAGGATAAATGCCCCGAAATACTAACGTTTTTCAAACATTCCAGCGGCACCCACACCTCAGCAAGCTGTGTTTACATGTGAATATGTGCTGCACTCGGTCACTCTTTTTAGCGATGTGGATATGTTTGCACCAGCTCTGCAATTCGACACTCCAGTCATGCCACGCTTATTTATATAGCACTTTATTCAAAAGATTGCTTTAAAGAAAGCAGCTTTACAGTATGAAATATGAAAAGATACTATACAATTTTTAGCTTCTACTGTAAAGCAGTATGTTATGTTTTTATTTGCATTATTTTGTTCTAAATGGAGTCATACCAGTTTGATCTTCAATTTCACTTCAAGTATATTGGGGCCTTAACTGTAGTATCTGACTGGTCATGTGATCTCAACATATTGGCCCAATGAGGTGCTGTGCTCCAAGTAAAATACAACAGATTTTTCCTCTCAGAATTGGTTACTTTGTCGAATTAGAAGATATCAGAAGTTCTGGCTCTGTTTTAGTCATTTGAAATATAATGCTTGCTGAATTATAATTTAATGTGTATGCTGAAATCTTGTCCTCCAGTTACCAAGAAACGTTCCTCAGTGGCTGCTCGGAAATCTGGCCAAAGCTTATCTTTTTTACGCTGGAAAAATGCTCTGGGAGGTCTGTGAGTGTGTTGGGTGTTTTATTTATTTATTTATTTATTTTTATTGTCTGGGCTTACCAAATTACCAAATCAGAGTGGTTTCACATTGGTGTGGTGCATTCATTCTCGTTTTGCTCTCTTTTTTTAGTTCGTGCACATCTTGGTTTTTGGTTCTTGGTTGTCTTTGTGCAGTTGGGGTTAAACAACCGGCTTTAAAAATGACATTTGGGTTTTCTTCCTTTTAATAAACTTCTAATGTCTTTTCAGAAATCACAAACAAGAGCATTCAGTCCAAAGCTCACAATTCTGTCAACACTACAGGCAATCTCACCACCAAATCTACCAGCAGTGCACGTGACACATCTGTAACGCGCTCCCGCCAAAGCTACATGGGTCCCACCGCAAGCTCCCGAGCAAAGATAACCCAGAGCAACTCTGTGGAGAGTTTGAACGCGTGTACATCGGAGGAAGTGCAGTTAAACGCCCCGTCTTCGTCTCTGGACCTAAGTGTGGAGCAAAGCAAAGAGAACATTGTTCCTCCTTCCTCTTCAGTTCTCTCCTCTGGATCGTCTCATCCGACACCAGCTCTCTCTACTCCTGCCTTGGGTAACCACATTGCCCGGGCAGCTCTTCGATTGGACCTCGTTGGCCCCAGTCGTGCCAGTTTGTCACCGGTGTCACTCAAGAGCTGTCTAGGGAAAGTTGAACGTGCTGAGTCTCCGCGTCGACAGGCTCTGGTGACACCCACAGAGATGCGGTCACTGGGCAAGGAGTGTCGGAAACAGATTGTTAATATTGAGCAGAGTTTGGTTTCTAAGACTTCAAGCAGGTTCTCAACTGGGTCTGAAGTTTTTGCCAGGAACTCCACGGTGTCAGAAACCAGTCATTCTGTGGTTGAAGACCTGCAGTTTACAGAGTCATGTGGGAATACACTGGCTACCAATCAGAGTAACGCAGAAGATCCTACAGAAAACAACTGCGTTGGAGAGGACACAGGTACTTTGTATCCTAAGGCCCTGTCCACACGAACGCGGTTATTTTTAAAACCGCAGCTTTTTCTACACGGTTAGGCTGTTCGTCCACACGCAAACGCAGCACCAGTTCACTGAAACCAAACATTTTTGAAAACGCCTGCCAAGGTGAAGATTTTCAAAAGCTCTGGTTGCAGTGTTATCGTGTAGACGGCAAAACCGGAGTTTTTGGCTTGTGATGTCAGCGCCTGCGCTGTTATCTCCGCCTACTGGAGACTTTTTCAGGCTTCTGATTGGCCAACATGGCTTTATGGTTGAGATTATATCGCCACCTGTTGGTTTGGCATGCTCTTGACAGTGCTTCATAGCATGCGTTTGCGTTTTCATGTGGACGGAGATTTTTTTTAAAATGGAAGAAGGGAAAAACTCTGTACGTGTGGACATGGCCTAAATTGCAAGGATGTTGTTCATGAACCAAATTCCATATTCTGGTTAAGGCTTTATTCTGAAAGAGCTGTTCCATAGTTACTGCAGTAATCAGGCATATAAATACGTCCATATAGATGTGCATAGATTTATACTGCTCAAAATTCAGATTATAGAAATACTTCACCCCAAACTGAAAATTCACTAAATATTAAATCAACTCAACTACAATGCCTGTGGGTGTTCACTGTCTGATTCGCATTTCTACTAACCAGAATATTGATTTATTAGGTTTTTGCAATTCAAGTTCAAGTTCATTTTATTTGTGTAGCACATTTACAGCAGCCGCTAGGCTGACCAAAGTGCTTTACAGAAGAGAAATTTATCAAAACATACACAGAAAACAAGCCAAATAAAATATGAACAACCCATTAAAAAATTACCGAATAACAGTAATCAATACACTAAGGAAAACACAGTAATCTAGTCGAGATGTAACAAACGCATGAACAGCCATTTCTAGAGTTTTTGGAGTGAGAAAGTCTCTGATTTTAGACCGTTATCGGATCCAGTTTATATCAACTTTGTCTACTGAGGAGATATGTTTATCAAATTTTAAATGCTGGTCGACAAGAACACCTAGGTTCCGCACCTGCGAAGATCTAAAAACGGATAAACTGTCCAAATCAGGGCGTGTATATACTGAGAATTCTCATTAGAACAAAAAACAGTTACTTCGGTCTTGTCTTCATTTAGGGAGAGAAAATTTTGGGCGAGCTATAATTTAACCTCCTCTAAGCATTGCTGAAGAGAGGTAATCGCTGCGGAATTGTTTCTTTTGATTGGTAGATAGATTTGAGTATCGTCTGCATAGAAATGAAAAGAGAGACCATGTTTCCTTAGAATAGAGCCCAGAGGTAGCATGTAGAGAGAAAATATAGAAGGAGCTAATATAGAGCCTTGCGGTAGGCCACAGGTCAGAGGTGCATTGGAAGAGGTACAATTTCCCAGCTTCACTAAAAACTTTGTCAGACAGGTATAACTGAAACCAATTAAGAATGGTAGCTTTTAGACCCACCCAGGGCTCTAGTCTGGATAATAGTGTGGAGTGGTCAACTGTATCAAAAGCGGCCGATAAATCTAAAAGAATAAGAACCACAGAGTCTCCAGAATCAGTGGAGCGATAAATAGTATGCATGTATGTAAAAATATTATAACGATCACAATTGGCGTAATCGGTTTAAACAACATGCTTATCAGAATATGACTGACTTCTGATTAATATTGGGATTTTTTTTGGGCAATATAGTCAGTCACAGAAGGTAATATTTATTTATTTATTTATGTCTTTTAGGATTTTCTACGGAGTCACTGAGTGTCCAGATGTGTAAGGAGATGGTGAATGAACTCTGGCAGACCATCCATAAAGCAACTGGCTTTTATAACAAGGTGATTTATCAATCTCTACCTCTGTCAGGGATAACTTTTATTAAAATTGTGTATATATAATATAATCTTTGGTTTTCCATGTTTTTTTTTTTTCACCCTCTCTCTGATCCTTAAAATTAAAGTCTTTCTGCTATTTTTGTTTTTTCATCTTATTAATCTTTTTTTTTTTTTTTGTTAATTGCCAAGGGAAGAAGTTCTAAATTTGAAGTTTAGGTTTTTGATGTAAAATGTATGTATGCATGTATGTACAGTGGGTACGGAAAGTATTCAGACCCCCTTCAATTTTTCACACTTTATATTTCAGTTTTTCTTTTTTAATAAATCTGCAAAAATGTTAACAATTCTGTGTTTTTCTGTCAATATGGGGTGCTGTGTGTACATTAATGAGGAAAAAAATTAACTTAAATGATTTTAGCAAATGGCTGCAATATAACAGAGTGAAAAATTTAAGGGGGGTCTGAATACTTTCCTGTCTGTCTGTCTGTCTGTATGATTTTTAAAGTTGAATATGTAAATGACCTTTTATAGTTGCTTTTTATTTCACAATATTCACAATCCACTACCATTCACAAGTGTGGGGTCGGTCTTTTTTTTTTATGCAATAATGCATTACATTAATCAGTAAAGGCATTTATAATGAGTACAGGGTTATCCTGGACGAAAACTTTCTCCAGAGTGCTCAGGACCTCAGACTGGGCCGAAGGTTTACCTTCCAACAAGACAATGACCCTAAGCACACAGCTAAAATAATGAAGGAGTGGCTTCACAACAACTCTGTGACTGTTCTTGAATGGGCCAGCCAGAGCCCTGACTTAAACCCAATTGAGCATCTCTGGAGAGACCTAAAAATGGCTGTCCACCAACGTTTACTATCCAACCTGACAGAACTGGAGAGGCTCTGCAAGGAGGAATGGCAGAGGATCCCTAAATCCAGGTGTGAAAAACTTGTTGCCTCTTTCCCAAAAAGACTCATGGCTGTATTAGTTCAAAAGGGTGCTTCTACTAAATACTGAGCAAAGGGTCTGAATACTTAGGACCATGTGATATTTCAGTTTTTCTTTTTTAATAAATCTGCAAAAATGTCAACAATTCTGTGTTTTTCTGTCAATATGGGGTGCTGTGTGTACATTAATGAGGAAAAAAATTAACTTAAATGATTTTAGCAAATGGCTGCAATATAACAGAGTGAAAAATTTAAGGGGGGTCTGAATACTTTCCTGTCTGTCTGTATGATTTTTAAAGTTGAATATGTAAATGACCTTTTATAGTTGCTTTTTATTTCACAATATTCACAATCCACTACCATTCACAAGTTTGGGGTCTGTCTTTTTTTTTTCTTTTCTTTTTTTTTTATGCAATAATGCATTACATTAATCAGTAAAGGCATTTATAATGTTACACAAGATTTTTATTTCATATAAATGCTGTACTTTTGAGCTTTTTTTTTTTCATGAGAGAATCCACAACTCTTTTTAACACTGATAATAAGAAGAAATGTTTCTTAAGCACCAAATATAAATTACAGTTATTCCTAATTGATACGGTGTCACTGAAGACTAGAGTAATGGCTTCTGAAAATTCAGCTTTGCACAACAGAAATTTCACTGTAAGATATATTAAAACAGAAAAATATTACAATATTTCAAACTTTTGAAGAGTATTGTATGTTTATAAATTTGTGTGGAAACTGGTGCAACTATCTATAAAAATTAGAAAATGTATTTAATTAGATTAAAATTGCCATAACATTCTCAATTTTCTGTAAAACTGTTGAACTATATATATATTAAAAAAAAAATTCTATAGGAATTTTATAGCATTTTTACAAAGTGAAGGAACGTGACTATAGCTAAACCTTACCATAAAACCTTAAAAAGCCGTCTAATGGTAAAACCAATTTTCTATCCCCTCTCTGTAGTTGTGCTCCGTCCCGGAGCTGTCGGAGCAGCAGGAGCAGATGAAGAGTGTTTTGCTGAAGGTGTTTGTGGGGGTACAGAGTGAGCTGAACTCCCTGTGCCCACAAGAGACGCGCCCCTCGCCCCAAAGCGCCCGTCCCGTACCGGAGGACTCTCCCGGCCGTCAGCTCCGGGACGACAGGACTGTGGCCCTCCTGGAGAAGTATTCAGAGATGCTCTTACTGCGAATGACTGAAAAAGGAGCACAGGCCACACTGGAGTAACTGCTCAGCTTCCATCATTTGATTGGCAAAAATGAACTTCTAATGGCATATCCATAAGCATCTTTAAACCTTAATGTCTTCCATTGGTTTTATGTTTTTAAATAAATATTTAAATGCGTATTTAATCCGCCCCCGTTTATTTTTTTTTATTATTATTTTTTTTTTTTTTTTTACACTACATTTCAATACCTGAGTGTTTTTGGTCACAGACTTTTATTATTTTTTTATGCTTTGCCGATTTGTCCATGCAAATCTTCAGGACCTCCCCCCATTATGTCCTTTATTTTATGTAGTTTTGAAACAGTGTTACCTTTGGAATACAAATTTGAATTCTGTAATCAGTTTTGTTTTGATGTTTGATGCTTGTGTAGTTTTACACCATTTCGCACCACCACAACCACGCAGACGAACTAAGAGGTGTTCCATTGTCATTTTATTTCAAGTGTTGTTCTGAATAGTGACTTCTCAAAGCATCAGGCTATGACTCACAATTTGCTTGCCACTGGTGTGCTGATTATGCTTTGTCATGTTGACCTACAATCCTTTTTTTTTTCTTCTTTTCACAGAAAATGTATAGTTGTCTGCTTTCAAAGGCTTTGTAAATATGTTTTAACCAGCTATTTGCACTGTTTTACTATTAAACTTTCAAATATGATTGTTTTTGTGGTTCGTTATGATTCTGAAAGAATTTAGAAAAACAAATTATAAATCCATAGCAATCTTCGGGAAGGGATGCAGAATTGCTTTAAAAAAAAAATTTTTTTTTAATTTTTTTTTATATAAAGGGGTCATATTTTTCCTTTCTCTTTGGATCTTCTTTTCACAGAAAATGTATAGTTGTCTGCTTTCAAAGGCTTTGTAAATATGTTTTAACCAGCTATTTGCACTGTTTTACTATTAAACTTTCAAATATGATTGTTTTTGTGGTTCGTTATGATTCTGAAAGAATTTACAAAAACAAATTATAAATCCATAGCAATCTTCGGGAAGGGATGCAGAATTGCTTTAAAAAAAAATTTTTTTTTTAATTTTTTTTTATATAAAGGGGTCATATTTTTCCTTTCTCTTTGGAGTGTTACAAGCTCTTGGTGCATGAAGAAGATCTGTAAAGTTGCAAAGTCTCAAATCCAAAGAGATATTCTTTTGAACAAGACCAGCTTGATGTATTCGGCCAATCACAACGCACTGGATAGCTGGCCAATCAGAGCACACCTCGCTTTTCAGACCGATGAGCTTTGTAAAAATCGATGCGTTTCAGAAAGGCGAGGCATAGAGGAGAAACAATAATGTACAGTATGTGGAAAAAAACGTGTTTTTTTTTTTAACCTTAAACCACATAAACACATTTCATTACACCAAATAATGTTATTTTTAGCAGCATCATATGACCCCTTTAAGCTATTAAATCTTTAACGAGAGATTACATGAAATACTGCATTATAGTGATTTTGTAAATCATAAGTTAATAAGAGTAGTATCAAAGTAATATGCATAGTGTTTTGGTAGAAACCATGGGTACGTTTCTGTAAAGAAATAATTTTCCAATATTTCCCATACATATACACTAACTTTTGTGGTTCCTACAGTATTTGTCATACATGCGTATTAGTCCTTTATGTGTGACTTACTGTCAGCCTAGTAGCGTCAAACTGTATTAAATCAGCGTGAGCCGAGGTTTCAGTGCTGAAGTGTTTGTACAGCTGTACTATGCTGCACTGGGTGGCAAATGCTACTGCTTGTCACGACAGAGGGCGCTTTGAGGCTCAGAAATCCATAACCTCAAATCGCTGAGAAAAGTAACAGAAGTCACGTGACAGCACATTAGCGCAAGCATAATAAAAAAAACGAATTCTCACCTATATAATCACAGTCGTATACTTTAATATACACTGAGTTGAAAATACACATTAAAGAATTAAAATATGAGAATTATAATTTGATGCATCGCTCCTAACCAATCAGAGAAAACGTCTGGGCCAAAAGGCCACTCCCATTTTACTCCACGATTTAGATGTACTTTCCATTCTAGCCAGTTTGTTTGCGCGCTTGAGACGCATTGACATGTTTGTCATGATTACTCATCAGCAGCAGCAGGCGGGTCTCTATGGGGTGTGATTTATGCACTTACTTTGCTAACCTCTCATGTGTTTACAGCCACTGCACTGCCGCTTTCCTGTGCGCTTCATGGAAAACACACGGAAAAGTTAAGTTCCCGATGACGGGGCGGGCATCCATGAACTATGTCTAAGAAAGTAGATTACTGTCACTGTATTAAAATTATTATTTATGATCATGGCGGCGTCGCAGCGCGCGAGAAACTCTGAAGTCAAACAGAGCGAAACATGGAAGCGTCACATTATCAGACAGCTGAAGTATCGCAACAGGACCCAGACGAGCGTCTTCCAGGAGCTCGTAGAGTCATGTAAGATTTATTAATGCTGGCTTTTGTGATTTAACTTTTTTAGGCCAATTAGTGCAACTTCTTGTATGTCAGGCAAAATAAGAAAAACCTGTTGTTTTGGATGCAGTAGCAGTTCAGAAATCTACCTATTGCCGTATGGCTGATTAAATCGTTTCATTTTATATATGTTTAAGCACTTAAAGACACAATATAATACAGTTAAATATTATAAAATATTTTTTTGATTTATTAATATCATATTATACAGAAAATACAAAGAATTGCAGTAACAGTTAAATATAATGTTTTACATTATTTATTTACATTTACATTTATTATTTAGTTTTTATTATTTTATCATTTATTTAGTATTATAATGCAAAGTATGCTCCACTTTTATAAATGATTATGGAGAACAGAATATAAAAGCTGAACTAATTTAACTGAAGGTCTAATTTGCATATCCTCTGTATAATCAAGACTTGTGCAAGTTCTCACTCATTCTGATTCTGTGAATCTTGACACTCGAGTGCAAATAGAAAATCTCATTAACAAACACTCTTGGAGTGAATGTAAACATCGGCTCTGGCCTCTTTTAAAACAAATCATGCTTGTTCAGAAATAGTTTGTCGTATTGTTCTTCTTATAGATCACAGTCTGCTGGAGAAGTCCAAGCAGAGAGCCCTCATAACCAAAGGCATTCTGGGATCAGGGTCAAGGTAACCTTTACTCTGTAACATTAAAATATATTATAACTCAATGTAAAAAGTGAAAACGTGCAGAGCTATTTCTACCTGATCTGAACCTAAAAATGGCTTCTGTTGGAGAAAGGTTTGATGCAGTCCCATTATATTTCTGAATATTACAACATAAAACAAGTTAATTTAGAATACCACATGAAACACATTTTTATACCCCCCCATAAACTCTGATTGTTAAATTGTAATAAAAGATTACTATGCATTACAATGTAATGGGTGGAGTTGTGGATTTACTGAAACGTGCATGCCAGTATGTCACTTTGATTGTATTATTATTATTATTATTTAAAAAAAAATTCGATACCAGAATGTATAATATGTAACACCTTACCAACCATACTATTTTGACATTACAGTATAGTAATAGCTAGGGCTGGGCGATATAGCTAAAAAATATATCATATAAAACATATCGTTCGTTATCGATAATTATTTACATTTTTTATAACCTTTTTTAAAACAGAGCAATAGAAAAAATGTTGAAATTTAACCACTATATTTTTAAATTAACCCAATTTATTGAGACAAACAACAAATATTTTTTGTTTTAACAATCAAACACAAACTAAAAATTTAATATTTAATTTCTAATGTTTTATATGCAGATTAAACAGATCTTATGGAATTTTTTGGCTTGTCACCCGAGGCCACAGGAGGGCGCAATGAGCAAAATAATGCAGCATATTTAAATTGTCAATGCAAGGAAATAATTCTATTAAAAAAAAAAGAGCATTACGTCTAAATTAACTCATAAAAATCAAATATAATTTCATAAATTGCATAAACAATTATGAACAAAACAGCATCATGTATTTATGCATTGCTTAATCCAAAGAACCGAAGCGCCATTCACGCAGATTGCATTTAAAAACATATGAGACGCAGTGAAAAGGAATAAACCTCCACAAATTCGTGACGTGTTTTCTAAACGTTTAAACTGTTTTAACTTTGCATGGCTTTCTATACATCTCTTGTGTGAGACGAGTGCAGCAGTCATATTTGTCCGTCTAAAAATGCGCCGAATATGCATTCTGTGTGAATGGCTTGGTTTCGGTTTTAACCTAATCAAGATCTTCTCCGCATTGAGCTACTATATTTCTCTAATATTTTGAATGAATAACGCAGCAGCGGCGCATCTCGTGGGCTAGACTAACAAAACATTAAAATGCAACGTCACTTACATCATCACCGCATCTCGCGTGCCACTGATGACGCTCCCTGATGCACTCCTAACATTCAAATGCATATGTTTATTTTAAATTCGACTAATATTCATTCTTTATTCACGATCTCCTAATCACAGGCAGGCACAGCATGTGTTCGTGTTTGTGTGTGCTGTCTGCATCACTCATAGCACATGCCTATATCGTGAGCTATATCGAAAAATAATTATATTGTTATCGAAGGTGTACCGTCGATAAATATCGATACCGTTTTATCGCCCAGGCCTAGTAATAGCATACATTATTATATTTTTTCATATTCAACCATGACAAATCTGTTTCTGCTTTTAATTTCAAAATACAGTTTTTTTTTTTGTCCCTTGCAGGCCCTCCCTATCTGAAGATTCGCTGACATCTCTAAAAACAACCACCGGTGAGGTAGGAAACGATGGTATATGTGGGAAAAACAGAATCAGCCTCTCTCATGAGAAAGCAGTTAGATGATTGGATTTCTGTCAAACGCGTATAAACCAAACTGAATTTTATGGCACAAGTTGTGACCTGTTTCACTAAACAGGTTTACAAGTTGGCCTGTTGTTATCTCTTCCTTTTAGCAGACAGTCAGTCATCAAATCTACACAGAAACGATGGCTTCCTACCTGTAAAAATGCCCTGGGATGTGTTCTTCCAAAGCATATTAATCTAACGTGAATGAGAACATTATTTGGAGACATATTAGGAAAATGTATTGCTTTTCTTTAGAAATGATCAGAGTGGTGTATATAACCAGTTGTTACACCTAATCTTGCTTTAAAGCTTTCTTAAGACCAGTTGGAAAGTTTTTGTGACGTATGTGATAAAACCTGGTGCATATCTGTGCTTTATCAAAACACAGGTCCTCTCCCCCATATTGAACTATTCTAGCTAATAAAAACTCCTGTAAAATAGATGTTAACATTATAAATAAATGCATTTGCTGAATTCGTTTTTTTTTTTTTTATTGAAAGTTTTTTGGCTTTAGAATAGTTTTGTTCTTGCAGCTTGCATACCAAGTGGTGGAACTGCAGCAGAGAATCCAGTTGAAGGAAGTTACACTGGATGAGCAACATACCAAGTAAACCTTTTTATTCTTTTATTACATAAAAAACAGGAAACCTCCCTTTTACAGTGGCCATATTATGTTCATTTAGAAATCCACAATTACACCAGTTGTTACACCTAATCTTGCTTTAAAGCTTTCTTAAGACCAGTTGGAAAGTTTTTGTGACGTATGTGATAAAACCTGGTGCATATCTGTGCTTTATCAAAACACAGGTCCTCTCCCCCATATCGAACTATTCTAGCTAATAAAAACTCCTGTAAAATAGATGTTAACATTATAAATAAATGCATTTGCTGAATTCGTTTTTTTTTTTTTTATTGAAAGTTTTTTGGCTTTATAATAGTTTTGTTCTTGCAGCTTGCATACCAAGTGGTGGAACTGCAGCAGAGAATCCAGTTGAAGGAAGTTACACTGGATGAGCAACATACCAAGTAAACCTTTTTATTCTTTTATTACATAAAAAACAGGAAACCTCCCTTTTACAGTGGCCATATTATGTTCATTTAGAAATCCACAATTAAATTTTTTGTGGTCTGCTAGAATACAGAGTTCTGGCATGAAACTCTAGATGGCGCAGTCCGATAGGTCTAACTCAGTCTGACCTAATGACATCATTGTCACATGGCAGCTGATTGGTTCTCTCCTGTATCGGTAGCCAATGAGCTCACTGCTCAATATTCAAATACCTGGCTTTTGTTTGCTGTAGCAGTCCACAGCACACTTCAGAAATCCTCCACCTTCCCCAGCTCCACCTGTATAGATCTGCTACGGGGTGCTTCATGTATGCTAATATGGGGGTTATTTCATGTATGTTATATTTGCAGCAGCAGAATTTCTTACATGCTCACAGCAGCATGTTGTGGATGTATTGGCAGTAGCAAGTCTCGGTACATGCTCTGCTGCAGCAGCGTAGCAGATCTATTCCGCCAAGACCAAATACATTAACATTGTCATGTACATTACCATGCCAATCCCTCTGAGAGTTGTCATGACAGAAATACATTTAATATAATTTGAAAAAACATTCTTCTCACACTGTACATTGCTGTAACACCTCTCTGTAGAAGGAAGCATAGAAGGAAGAAGACGTGCATGTGTGTGTGTGTGTGTGTATATATATATTTATTTATTTATTTATTTATTTACAAATTATTAATTGTATTTATCATGTTCGACCATTCATCCCTCTATGCTATACATATATTAAACAAAAAATTATTCTTTGATTTATGTGAACTGCAGTGTTATGAAATAACTAGAGACATTTTGAGCCCACTACTGAGTGATAGCTTTTGCAACCCAATTTTTTTTATATATTTACTCTGTAATGGTAACAGGGTGCTAACATATTGAAACTAATATAAAACGACTGCAAAATGGAAAAACAGAATATTTAATGTTTAGTTTTACCTTTTACCTCTCAATATTGTTAAAGGCACAATATGTAAAAATTTATTAAAATATCCAAAAACCACTAGAACAGTTTTATATATTTTGCTGACTTGTGTACTTGCATTATCCCAAATGTTTCAAAGAATGTTTAAATCCAGAGAAATAAGCAATTTTAACTAGTGACATGGAGCGTGTCCATAGTATCATTGTGTCGCCTGCCAATGACGTCATAACTTTCTCGTTTTGTTTTGTAGAAAACATGGAAACACCAAAGACGCTTTAATATGTTGTGCATTTTATTAGACCGGTGACGACTGCACAGAGTAGCATTATAACAGAAATTTCAAACGTATCTAGTATGATAAAACAGCGCTGCTTTACCCCACATACGCACGACCGGACGGAGCGGAAGCGCTAAAGTGTGGCATAATAAAAGCTCTGCTGCTTTCAAGCCATGTGTCACTCTCATTTCTCATTAGCAATTGCTTCAGCGGCCTCGTTTCGCTTCGACAGCTTTCCGCCTCACCCTACTTCATACTACGATGCTAATAAATCTTTAATACATTAGCTCATCCATGAACTCATCCATCGGATTGCTTCGGCTGTGATTAGACCGGTGACGACTGCACAGAGTAGCATTATAACAGAAATTTCAAACGTATCTAGTATGATAAAACAGCGCTGCTTTACCCCACATACGCACGACCGGACGGAGCGGAAGCGCTAAAGTGTGGCATAATAAAAGCTCTGCTGCTTTCAAGCCATGTGTCACTCTCATTTCTCATTAGCAATTGCTTCAGTGGCCTCGTTTCGCTTCGACAGCTTTCCGCCTCACCCTACTTCATACTACGATGCTAATAAATCTTTAATACATTAGCTCATCCATGAACTCATCCATCGGATTGCTTCGGCTGTGAGGATGAAGACGACAGCTCCCATGATTCCACACTCAGTCACGGCATCATCAAACTACGCCTTTGTTTCTTTGTTTGTTTTGAATACGCGCCCTCTAGTGGTGAAAATTACAAATTGTGCCTTTAAGCACCTCCTTTTAATTACACTTATTGACACTCCTTTTACTAAAACTTAGTTTTTTGTTTTTTTACCGAGAGAGAGTCTTAGGCCCTATTTTGGATCCTATATGTGGAAAGTGGCATTTATTTACACACAAGCTGTTGTCTCAATATTATAAATGGATAATGTCCTAAATTTTGGTCACAAAGCTAACATATGGCTAAAGGTGACCCTGGACATTCTGCCATATCTCTCCATTCTTTAGATGAAAAATAAATCATACAGAATTTCCATTAACTATTCCTTTTTATAGCTGTAGACTTTTTAGCTTGGTCTGGATGTGCATCGTGGAATGCATAAAGTCCAATATTTTGGACAATTTGGACCATTTTATGATAGATCTTGTATGTATAATGATTTTTTGTTGTTGTTTTAATTAGGCTATATGAGGTCCAAAACCATCTCAGTGTTTTGACATCAGAGCACAGCGGGCTTCAGGAACACGTGGCAGAGGTACAGACTAGAAACCGACTTCTGAAACAAGAATATGATTCTCTGCTGGAGCAGCACCAGAACATGGAGAGGACGTACCGACAAGAGAAACTCCGCAGCTCAGAGATCCTGGACAACATGATCGGTCCAAAACAGCAGGCTGCTGTCCGCATGAACCATCGCAATGAGAAGAGAGTGAGGTCAGAGGCATGATGGGAGGGGAAATGTGTGATTGCTGCGCCATTAGAATAACCAAATCAAATCCCACCCAAAAATAATCTCCCGTCTTCTAATTCATGTCATCGGTTGTGCATTGATTCAGCAGAATGGATATAAAAGAAAGTGAAATGAAAATTCTGTCATCATTTACTCAACTTCATGCTGTTCCAAACCTGACTTTCTTCATTCTGTAGAACACAAAAGTTTTTTTTGGTCCATACAATGAAAGCCAGTGTGGTCCATTGCTGTTTTGAACCCTACTGACTGTCACTGTATAGGTAAAAATATTCTTTAAAATATCTGCTATCGTGTACTGCACAAGAAATTTAATTAATCCGATTTGGAATAACATAAGGGCGAGTAAATTATGACATAATTTTAATATTTGGGTGAACTTTCCCTTTAAATATGTTACAATGTGGGAGCTAAAAGTATTACATTTACATTTAGACATATAGCAGACGCTTTTATCCAAAGCGACTTACAAATGAGGACAATAGAAGCAATCAAAATCAACAAAAGAGCAATGATATGCAAGTGCTATAACAAGTTTCAGTTAGCTTAAAAATGTATTACATTCTTATTAGTGTCCAAATATTTGGTAACATCTGTCAACAAGGAATAAAGGACACCGAGGCCACGTCAAACAACAGTAGAAGCATTATTTGTTAAAATTCAATGGCTTAGAAGATGGTTAATGTAGTTAATGAATTAGTGTTTTGTTAAAGAAGGGTCACATTTCAAAGTTCACTGAGAATATATTCTCTCTGCTGCTGTGGTATTCTGCTGGCAAATAATTTGTTGCTTCTTTTTTCCTAAATGTTGAAAGCAAATGTTGTCCGTTCCATAAACACCACATCCTTCTTGATCACATTTCCTCTTCTGTCTTAGAGCCAGAGAGGCCAGTCTTCACAAAGAGCTTCAGATGGCTGCCAGTAAGAATGTGAATATTCATGAGTAAGTATCCGCTGTATAAAGTGTGAATCTGATTTCACGTCAATCCAAACCCTCATCGCTGTCTGTCTTCTGTGAAGCGCAAAAGGAGAGTTGTTACAGTAGTGTATGCGCTGTCATTTATTTATTCGTGTTTCACGGAGGAAAGAAAGTCATGCCGGTTTGGAATGATATGAGGCATATAAGGGCAGCATAAACAATCCTATAAAATCAACATGTAGATCTTTCAAATGTTTTCATTAATTGTTTTGCTTTTGCCTGTCAGAGAGTCAGGAAATGTGTCACCTCCCAAGCCATCATCCCCTAAAAGTGACTCTTCACAGAGGTTGGAGAGATCCCATGGGCCACTTTTCAGGTAACAGCAGGGGCTTTCATGTATAATACAGTAATTATTTTGGGTAAAATATATAAGTAATATTTCGGGTGTACCTTGAACTTTATCTTAAAAGAACCAAAGACTTAAACTACTTCAGTCTGTGAGTTTATTTAATACACGAGTTTCACAATTTGAGTTGAATTACTGAAATAAATGAACTTTACCACAACATTCTAATTCATTGAGATGCACCTGTATATCATGCTGTTGATTACCCTAGGAAATAATTTTGCCTAATTCTGGCTAATTATTGACTAATTTTGACATGTAGTATCTTTAGTAACCTAATGTATTTTTTCTCAAAGTCTCGACAGTTGTTGTTTTTTCTTCTCAGGTCTGCTTCAGCTACATCTCCCCGCATCATCAGCTCCATCAGAGGACTTTTTGAGTAAGTCGCTGAAAGCTCTTTAAGTGCTGATGAATCACTGTATAGCATAAGTTGTGATTGTCTGAATTTTTTTAAGGCATTTCACAGGGGAATGTGAAGGGGAACGTTATTTTTAATGCTGACATGTTAGTGTACATGTACATAGGTGTACATAAAAAAGATTATGTAGAAATTGTAATAAAAGTGAGCAGTGCTTTTTAAAATTAGAAATACAGCAAATTCTAAGCAAATCCCATAATAACATATAGCTCTCAAAATGAGGAAATTCAATAATTAAGCCCTTTGAAAGAAACAGTAGCATAAAAAAACAAAAATGTGCTTGAAAAGTAAACCTGGTGTTAGAATGTAAATCTGATTTGAACAAACTAGTATAGTCTGAATCTACTTTATGGGACACACACGAAGCGACAGCTGATGGTTTACAAAAAAAAACAATCGTAAATTTAAAGTATGCTAATACTGAATAAATAAAATAAAATTTTATTTTGAATACATTTTAATTAATATATTTTTTATAATTAGTATTGAATGAACAAAATTTTGATTTAACTGAAGTATACTGGATCTGACGAATGATTTTGAAGTTACAATTTAGTGCATTCTCTGTCGTTTATTTCATTACAGAGTCAAGACATCCATTCTAGCTCTGTAGCAGTTGTTTGCATGGGAAATGTTATTACTTCTATATGTCAGTTTCCTTTTTGGTAAAAACCTGCACCCACAGTACTTAACTGGCAGCAGCACTAATTTAATTCCATGCCCGATCTGACCTATTTGACGTAAAGATGTGACCCGAACCACACCCGCATTAAAGGGATAGTTCACCCAAGAATGAAAATTTGATGTTTATCTGCTTACCCCCAGGGCATCCAAGATGTAGGTGACTTTGTTTCTTCAGTTGAACACATTTGATGATTTTTAACTTTAACCGTTGGAGTCCATCAGTCTTATAATGGATGGCAATGGTAACAAAGTCTATGAGAGTAAAAAAAACATGCACAGACAAATCCAAATTAAACCCTGTGGCTCGTGACGACACATTGATGTCCTAACACACGAAACGATCGGTTTGTGCCAGAAACCGAACAGTATTTATATCATTTTTTACCTCTAATACAACACTATGTCCAACTGTCTTTGTGCGCACGCACTACTTCTGGTGTGTGAGATGTGTACGCGCTCTGGCGTAGTTTACGTTAATGGGTGTTGTCGCGGGAGGAGCAAACAACAGACACCTTTTATTAACAGAAAATAAACGGTGTCCAGAAAAAGGGAATCAAGTGCCCAAAATAAACAGGGGATCTGGTGTCCTCGTCGTGCTGCGGGGTTTGTGAAGGGAAGGGCAGTGGTCAGGAAGGAAGGGTCCACGCGCTCCCCTCTCCGGTCCGGGGCGCTTCTATCAGCAGCTTCGTCCTTCTCTCTGCCCACAGCGCTTGAAGGGACTAGACAGCCCAGCATCCTAGCCCGACGGCCGTGTAATGGGTGCGGTTCTCGTCCGGAATGCGGGTCCGGCACTATGGCGGCACGGGAGTCCCTCTACGCACCCCCCCTGAACCCACGAGGACACCAGCGTGCATGCACAGGGAAGAGACCGGTCTCCCGAGGAGAGGCGCGCTCGGCATTTAAACAGCGGCGGTGATGAGGCTCCATTCGGTTCAGGTGTGCCTCGTCACAGTGTGTTGATATCCAGCCGAAGAGCAATCAACCATAACTTCAGGCGAGCAGGCTCAGAAGTCAGTTTGAACAATCCGGATAAGCGTAAGTAAGTACCAGTTTGATTAGCCATCGTACCTACAATGACTGTGCACTGTGTAAACAATGAGTGATGTATACGCGTGAGAGATCACTTCCGGCGCTTGCGTAAACTACGCCAGAGCACGTACACACCTCACGCACAGGAAGCCGTGCGCGCGCCCAAAGACAGTTGGACATAGTGGTGTATTAGAGGTAAAAAATGATATAAATACTGTTCGGTTTCTGGCACAAACCGATCGTTTCGTGTGTTGGGACATCAATGTGTCGTCACGAGCCGCAGGGTTTAATTTGGATTTGTCTGTGCATGTTTTTTTTACTCTCATAGACTTTGTTACCATTGCCATCCATTATAAGACTGATGGACTCCCAACGGTTAAAGTTAAAAATCATCAAATGTGTTCTACTGAAGAAACAAAGTCACCTACATCTTGGATGCCCTGGGGGTAAGCAGATAAACATCAACTTTTCATTCTTGGGTGAACTAACCCTTTAAGTCTGCAACCTAAGATATTTTAAAGGACACCTATTATGGGCATTTTACAAAATGTAATATTGGTCTAGGGTGTCCCCAGAATGTGTCTGTGAAGTGTCAGCTCAAAATACCCCACAAATGTATTATAACAGCTGGAAAATGTCATTTTTGGGATGTGTGTAAAAAAGAGCCATTTTGGTGTGTATCACTTTAAATGCAAATGAGCTGCATATTCCCACCCTGTCTCCAGAAGAGGGCGTCGCATATACATCTCTGCTTTGCATACAACTGCAATAAACAGCCAGTAAAAGCAACATGACTGAGAGCAAGAGAACCGGTGTTCAGCCATACATATAGGAAGCCAAATGCACTGAAAGTGGGACGAAACAGCGCAATGTTACAGAGTTATGAACGGACAACGTTGCACGAACTAATCTTACAAGCGCGGTGTTGATCAGTTAAAATACTTTGATAATATACGCACACAAATACGGCTAATCTACGCTCCCCTCCTGAACCCACGAGGACACCAGCGTGCATGCACAGGGGGAAGAGACCAGTCTCTTGAGGAGAGGTGCGCTCTGCTTTTAACAGCGGCGGTGACGAGGTTCCATTCCGGACAGCAGGTCCGGCAGCTTGTGTCTCTGGCGGCATGGGAGTCCCTCTACGCTCCCCTCCTGAACCCACGAGGACACCAGCGTGCATGCACAGGGGGAAGAGACCAGTCTCTTGAGGAGAGGTGCGCTCTGCTTTTAACAGCGGCGGTGACGAGGTTCCATTCCGGACAGCAGGTCCGGCAGCTTGTGTCTCTGGCGGCATGGGAGTCCCTCTACGCTCCCCTCCTGAACCCACGAGGACACCAGCGTGCATGCACAGGGGGAAGAGACCAGTCTCTTGAGGAGAGGTGCGCTCTGCTTTTAACAGCGGCGGTGACGAGGTTCCATTCCGGACAGCAGGTCCGGCAGCTTGTGTCTCTGGCGGCATGGGAGTCCCTCTACGCTCCCCTCCTGAACCCACGAGGACACCAGCGTGCATGCACAGGGGGAAGAGACCAGTCTCTTGAGGAGAGGTGCGCTCTGCTTTTAACAGCGGCGGTGACGAGGTTCCATTCCGGACAGCAGGTCCGGCAGCTTGTGTCTCTGGCGGCATGGGAGTCCCTCTACGCTCCCCTCCTGAACCCACGAGGACACCAGCGTGCATGCACAGGGGGAAGAGACCAGTCTCTTGAGGAGAGGTGCGCTCTGCTTTTAACAGCGGCGGTGACGAGGTTCCATTCCGGACAGCAGGTCCGGCAGCTTGTGTCTCTGGCGGCATGGGAGTCCCTCTACGCTCCCCTCCTGAACCCACGAGGACACCAGCGTGCATGCACAGGGGGAAGAGACCAGTCTCTTGAGGAGAGGTGCGCTCTGCTTTTAACAGCGGCGGTGACGAGGTTCCATTCCGGACAGCAGGTCCGGCAGCTTGTGTCTCTGGCGGCATGGGAGTCCCTCTACGCTCCCCTCCTGAACCCACGAGGACACCAGCGTGCATGCACAGGGAAGAGACCGGTCTCCCGAGGAGAGGCGCGCTCGGCATTTAAACAGCGGCGGTGATGAGGCTCCATTCGGTTCAGGTGTGCCTCGTCACAGTGTGTTGATATCCAGCCGAAGAGCAATCAACCATAACTTCAGGCGAGCAGGCTCAGAAGTCAGTTTGAACAATCCGGATAAGCGTAAGTAAGTACCAGTTTGATTAGCCATCGTACCTACAATGACTGTGCACTGTGTAAACAATGAGTGATGTATACGCGTGAGAGATCACTTCCGGCGCTTGCGTAAACTACGCCAGAGCACGTACACACCTCACGCACAGGAAGCCGTGCGCGCGCCCAAAGACAGTTGGACATAGTGGTGTATTAGAGGTAAAAAATGATATAAATACTGTTCGGTTTCTGGCACAAACCGATCGTTTCGTGTGTTGGGACATCAATGTGTCGTCACGAGCCGCAGGGTTTAATTTGGATTTGTCTGTGCATGTTTTTTTTACTCTCATAGACTTTGTTACCATTGCCATCCATTATAAGACTGATGGACTCCCAACGGTTAAAGTTAAAAATCATCAAATGTGTTCTACTGAAGAAACAAAGTCACCTACATCTTGGATGCCCTGGGGGTAAGCAGATAAACATCAACTTTTCATTCTTGGGTGAACTAACCCTTTAAGTCTGCAACCTAAGATATTTTAAAGGACACCTATTATGGGCATTTTACAAAATGTAATATTGGTCTAGGGTGTCCCCAGAATGTGTCTGTGAAGTGTCAGCTCAAAATACCCCACAAATGTATTATAACAGCTGGAAAATGTCATTTTTGGGATGTGTGTAAAAAAGAGCCATTTTGGTGTGTATCACTTTAAATGCAAATGAGCTGCATATTCCCACCCTGTCTCCAGAAGAGGGCGTCGCATATACATCTCTGCTTTGCATACAACTGCAATAAACAGCCAGTAAAAGCAACATGACTGAGAGCAAGAGAACCGGTGTTCAGCCATACATATAGGAAGCCAAATGCACTGAAAGTGGGACGAAACAGCGCAATGTTACAGAGTTATGAACGGACAACTTTGCACGAACTAATCTTACAAGCGCGGTGTTGATCAGTTAAAATACTTTGATAATATACGCACACAAATACGGCTAAAACGTTAGTTAAGCACTATAACGGCATGACATTCACAAAGCAGTCTGGAGTGAAATGATTTGCGCAGACATATACGTATTTAGGTAGATTTTGAGGCGCATTACCGTGAAAAATAGAAGTAATCCGCTACGTCCTCAGTGGCTCAGATGTTGGGAGAAAATGAAGACTCTTATGTTCAGTCTTGCATCCAAACACAGAACACCGGGATTGCTTACGAGACATTGTTACAGCTGCACGAGAACGAAGAAAATAGAGGACAGCGTACAACTGCTGAGGCCGGAAACTATAGCAATGCAGGGCTGTAATCAGTTTTTATCATTGTAGGGTGGTTGTGTTTACATACTGCCAACACACATTTATGTCCAAACACCATGCAAAAGTGGATTTTTTATAATAGGTGCCCTTTAAAGGATTCACTGTGTCTCTCCTGAAACTCTGCAATGTATACCTGGCCGCTGGTCCTCTTAGCAGCATGAAAAATAAAACTTTTATTTGAATTATGAATAGCGCATATACAGAAAGCGAATAAGGAGCGCTCCCTTTATAATCAAGCTGTCATTCACTTCAGTTGCAGCGTGATTGGCTACAATGTTCAACGCTGCAAACTGTGTTGCAAATAGAAACATTTTTACAGTCTTCAGACTACAGAGCATGAACACAAATAAGCATGGGACCGTTTGGAATCAGTTACCTATCAGCGGGTATCGAATTGGGTCTAAATAGTCTTGGCAATTGGACCTGCAGTCCCACCTGAGCCTATTGATTCCCCGACCTGGACCTGCACCAGAAATGACAACGTAAATAATATTCCACCCGTTACATCAAATATTAACGTGCAGGACTGTGTTATGTGTGGGTATTGCGTTGCTGTATGTGTATCATGTCTAGTATCATTAACAGCATTGTTGATCCAATGTGGTTCTTACACAATTTGAGTGTAAAGTAATACACTTCTTGTTTGTATTATTTTTACACCTTAGTAAAGTTGCTTCCCCTTCTGTAGTTTCACATTATAGTGTACTGTTTAAAAATAAGATTGGACATGACAGTTATTATTATTTGTGCCGTGTGAAAAACAGAAGGTAGGTAAGTTCCTCAAAAGCAGACACATGGTTAATAAGATATTGAGATAGAACAAACAATTTTAATGTTACAAAATATTTTTGTTACTTGTGACCAATTTAATGCCTCCTTGCTAAATAAAAGTATGATGTTTTTAATGGTAGTGCATCACAGTTTCCACAAAAATATTAAGCAGCAAATTATGATTTCGGAAAGATCATGTGACACTGAAGACTGGAGTAATGTTGTTGAAAATTCAGCTTTGCATCACAGGAATAAATTACATTTAAAATATATTCAAACAGAAAATAGTTATTTTAAATTGTATCAGTATTGACAATATTACTGTTTTTACTATATCTTTGATCAAATAAATGCAGCATTGGTTAGCATAAGAGACTTCTTTCAAAAACATTCATAGATAGATTGCTAGGATATTTTGGCTGATTGGTACGGTGTTGCTAGGGTATTCTGGGTTGTTGCTAGGAAGTTGTTAGGGTGGCCTAGGTGGTTGTTAGGGTTTTCAGAAAATGCAAACTGATTAAATGTATTCATAAATGCAATCAGTTTGGATAAAAGTGTCTGACAGATGCATAAATGTAAATGTAAAGGATTAGAAATGAATGTGTGTTTTGTGGTTTCAGGATGCTCATGAGCTGGGAATCAATGCTGTGAGGTTCAGTACCAGTTCAAACCTGCTGGCTACAGGAGGAACTGACAGAGTCATCAAACTGTGGGGCATTGAAGCAGGTACATCACAAAACTGATCTGGAAAAAAAATCTTCTGTTTAATTGTCAGCTTTAGCCATATAGACAGGGTTCAAATATAGTAAAAAAACTCACATCGAGCGATAGTGAATGCTCTTGGCATTAAATGTGACTGTCTCTGACCACCAGCAGATGTCAGCACTCTAATATCTAAAACATCCCTTAGTCAGGGTACATTCAGTGGTGTATAAAGTACCTGAAACATACTCAAGTAAAAGTAGATATCTTAGCAGAAAATGACTTTGGTAGAAGTTGAAAACACCGTTTAGAATATTACTTGAGTAAAAGTCTTTAAAGTATGTGATATTTATTGTACTTAAGTGCGAAAAGTGTTTTTTTAATCTTAAACGTACTTAAGTATTGAAAGTAAAAGTACAAGTAAAGGCAAAATAGAAAAGAAGAAAATAAATATATATATATATATATATATATATATATATATATATATATATATATATATATATAT